AACCATAAAACCATACAAAATTTTCGTGCGACCTCTATTCAAAATCCCAGTTTACCAACAGGAATTAAGGCACAAAGATGTTTCACTGAATTTATTACCGATTTTTCAAGAAAAGTATGCTTATAAGCCTATAAGCGTCTAATGGATTAAAACAACAAATAATAATCACAATTTATTTGTTTCATGTGTTCATTATAATAATCCCATTTATTTACCAGAAACTTCTAAATGAAATAATATCTGGTTGACGAGAAATATCCGCAAATTTGTGTTAGGCTCATCTGGCAACGTTTTCGGTAGGTAGGTATCAGTGGCGGCTCGTCAGATGAGGCAAGTGAGGCGGCGCCTCACAGCATAATATCTTAAGAACAGATTGACTTAATTTATAATTAAAAAAGAGTTTTCAATGCATTAGTTACAAAAATATGTTGAAATGGGAAATCTGTACATGATTTTTTATTTTTTACGCTTCCTGCTGACATTTTCCGTTGAATACCGTACGATTTATGCCCCTAGTTCTTTAACTGAAGCGGCCAGAACGTCGGTTCACTTGAACCAGCGAAGCCCAATCACAGACACGGATTTCGATGGCTCAGCTCCTATACTCCTATACATGCTTTCGCTCGGAACTGAGGCTATATCTTCGGTGCTTCTCAGCCAATTTCGGCGTACTCATTAAACCATTTTTCCATTTATTTTACAGAACGGTAGAGTTGCGGGGTGCGTGGGTAATTAGCATGAACGTGAATAAAAACCCACGTGTTGGTGTTTTGTGTTATTGTCTCTTTCATAGGTACAGGTGAGTGAAAAATGAATCCCGAGTACGACATCGTCATGTTGCTTCTTGAAACGCCGTTTTCATGGCGAACCGAGCTAGAACGTCGGCAAATTTTGCTAAATATCGACCAGTCAAAACCGTTAATTCATTTAACTTCCATTGATAAGCGACAGAATCGTCAGTACTCCAAGTCATTTAAATCAACTTGGTACCTACGAAACATATAAATGGCTCTGCCGTAATATTTACACAACATCCCGGGATATAACGATTTAACGAATTTCATCCGAAGTGCAAAGTTCCATGAAAGTTCCAAAGTACACATTAAAAATTTCATGGGCTTAAAATGTTTAGAAAAAGAACACAACAACTATTCCCGAATCCCTCCAAGAAAGTGCTACTTTCAACAAAATTTTGACTTGTAAAAACATTGTTGATTCAATGTGTTATGGGTGTTATTATTATTATTATTAGGACCTACCACTGACCCGGGAATGACCGGTATTCAGGCAAGACTTCTATCATTACTAACTAGTAAGACCAAGTAATATTACTATTATTGTCAAACTTCTATCATCGCCTCACCACATCAGACAGTCACGAGCCGCCACTGGTAGGTATCAATGGAATAATGCGATTAGGTATACTGACCGTTTTAAGGAGTGCTCGTCCAATAGTGCGTAAACTAAAAGATTTGGTAAATTTTCTTGGAAGAGTTTGTTTCTTCAATGAAAATTTATGGTTTTTAACTCTTCGGCCGCTTGAAAGTCTCGCCATGTGAAAATAGATTATTTGATAACCTGTTTCGTAATAATTGTAAATACGAAAAAAAGCATATTTGCATATTCTAAACAACTGGCCATATCGATTCCAAACTTGTACAGATATGTTTTTTAATGTTTCTGTTTTCAATGAAATAAATTTTATTTGCAAAATACTTAATGTCTAACGACATATCACGCATACATACTACCCCATTTACTATATTTTCAATCTGTGCATTTTTCGCTTCATTCGTAGGAGTCAAGTAATAAGAAGTATCAGTGAGACCGGCGGTCTTTCAATAGCTCGTAAATGAAAAGATTTAGTAAAGTTTCCTAGTACAGTCTGTCTCTTCATAAAAAAATGTAGACATTTTTACTATGAAATATAGGTACAATACGCTATATTCCACTGTTTGTTTTCTTTGAGATACGACTAGTTCTTGTGCCGAAGTGAAACACCAAAAAGTCTAAAGTCCGGAAATCAGAGTGAATTTTAAAACACATAAAACGACTTCTTTATTTATTTAAATATTGTCCTGTAACGTCCTGCGACGTGGAATGGAGTTTCTTAATGTACAAAAGTATGTTAGATAATAACCGAAAAATTTTCTTGATTAAAACTAAAGGAAACACAATTATTACTTGGAATAAAAATAAAGAATATCAAGAACTTGTGCTATGTATTAAAAATATTTAATTTCAAATAAGTAAATTATGTTAATAAACCATAAAACCACAAAAATCTTTTTTTAACACAAATTATATTTCAATAAATTTTCAGTAGCGAATTATCGATATACTTAATTGTATTTACATCATAAAATTTATTTATTTTACTTCATACTATGTCAAGTTTGACGTTTTACTGGATCGAACGATTCCGGTAAAATCAAAAAAACAGACAAGTCTGATAAAATTGAGCCAAAAAGAACAAGTGTTCCATTTCCGGAAGCGGCCACTGACCCTTTTGGGTCTCTTTTGCTTTACCTGTTATTGTAAATACAAATGTAAATTTAGTACTTCTGTAACCGTCCTGTATTAAACATCGAAACCGAACGCTGTCTATTATCTCGCACGCAAGAAAACAAAGGTCCTTGGAGCAATATCAAAGTACAATTTGGTATCACATTGTCGTATCAACCAGATTACAAAAAATACTGGTAGGACGAGCCGAGTTGCACAAACATTGGTCCTTCGAGACGGATTGCACAAAACATTCGTCCATCGAGTCGGATTATACAAAACAATAAGTCCTGTAAAGTGTTATAAGTGCTATGTGTTTAAACATATGATGCTGATTTGCACGAATAAACAAATTAAAACATTTACCAAAGAGCGGTTGCTAACGATGTCAGAAAAAGTGACTCGATTTGGATTTTTTCTCAAAATAATAATAATTTTATCGAATAAAAAAGTATGTTGACAGTATGAAATAAAATACATAACAACATACGTCCGGTAACTCTTTTCGCAGTACTCGTTTCGAAATTAAAGACTCGGCTACCTACTCGTCCTGAAACATACCACTCGTACTGTAAAATTTGAGCTACCGGACCGGACCGTATTTAGAATAACTTTAATTACCATTTATGTTTTCATCAACACTAACAAGTATTTAAAATAACAAGTAATAATTTGTTTGTATTGTTTATTCATTATAATAATTCCATTTATTCACCAGAAACTTTTAAACGAAATAAAATCTAATCGACTAGAAATAACGGCAAAGTTGTGTTAGGCTCATCTGGCAACGTTGTAAATTATATAAATGCTTACTATGAGATTTTTACACATTTTTTTCGTCGCCCTCTGTCGAGTGGTAGCTTTATTAAATGTATTGTTGCTGTGATTTGGGTTATCTACGCGCGCGATTGGTGTCCAAGCTTTTCGCCGGCGTTTGACGGCCGACTGTTGGTGCGCCATCTCTTGTTCGCCGGCCGTTGGCCTGTTCGCTCCAAACAATCGCATGGGTCTATCTATATGTATTTAATCAATGTCCCCACCAAGGATGATATGACGTCATTACCAACTTTTATAATAGTAAACTTTTATAAAATAACATACTCCTCCACTTGTAGTTTATGAATCCGTGTTAAGTTTTTACACTAGGCATCCAGATTTTTGTAAAAAAATGAAAATCGTATAACAACATTGTACAATTTAACTTTGAAATTGCAAAATCGGATGCTCTGAAATCTTGCAGACGTTTTAAAGTTATCGGAAATATGATAAATCGTTAGTCAAAATTTATCCGTTTACGACCCCTCTAAAGACTGATGACGTCATCTCAAAATTTTGCCAAATAACTCCTATCTAAAATGTGGAAAATACGATGAGTTTATATTTTTGATTTGTCATCCCATTCATATTTTTTTAGAATTATTTATACCGGGTAACTCAAAAAAATTAATCTATGAATCAGTTTATTTTCTTGATCACATCAGAAACTACAAAACCGTCTTGCAAACGTTTTAAAGTTATCGTAGATATGGTAAATTTTTAATCAAAGTATACCTGTTTATCCCCTCCAAAAAATTAATGAGGTCATCTTAAAATTTTGTCGAATAACTCTTATCGAAAATGTGCAAAATATGATGAGTCTATAGGTACTGTTTATTTATCATTACATTCATATTTTTTAGAATTGATTCATCAAAAAATGATGAATGGGTCAATTTATTTTATTGATTAAATCAGGAACGGCTCATTTTATTTTGCCGAAAATTTGGGAGTTCAATACTGTTGTTATTAGTATTACACTGTACCTATCCAAATTGATATACGTGTCTTTGCAAAAAATATCGATGACGTAATTACAAAATTTTGTAAAGTAAAAATTCATTTTAAACATACGCGCACTACGTTATTTGACATTCACTTTAACTTTACATAGTTACATATGTTTATTTCAACTTCCCACAAGAAATAATAAAGTTATAAAATAAAATGTTGAATTTTTCCGAAAAAGGTGGATATGTTTTATTGAACTTAATAGGGCGAGAGAAGTTCTGCCGAAATAACCTTCAAGGAATTTTTTTAATTCCGCGAGTCAAAGTAATTCATGTCGCTTTTATTTTTTACGAAATATAGCTTTGGCTAAAAGTTAATGTAAACATTTTAGACTTGTGCCGAACTAAGAAAGAAATATTGTTTGTTGCGTGTGTGCGGCTTTAGAATAACACATGCTTTATGTTGAAGCCGTAGCGAATGATTTATGTGACCCACCATTATTAAATATTGTCTTTACGAAATGAAGTAATTCTTAAACGGATAAATAATTTCGTTGCACCACTTACAATTAAACTTTTGTTTATCTCTCGCAATCAGACCACTCCATGATAAAAATTACATAGTCGGCTGCGAAGTTTTATTAGAGATTGTTGCCACAAACAGTTTTGACATTGTTTACAATAGAAAAAATATTTTCATCGTGGTGACAGTTGTGTTTCATACCATAGGTCCAACAAGCGCACCTTCAGCCAGCACGAACACTACGACGAGCACTGTTTCGACGTATTCGATTGCAACTGGTACGTATTTTTATGATGCTGGAAACTATCCAGTGGCCCGTTCTTTCGGTCAACAACCAACATCTTTCGCTGCTCTTCCACAATCCACCCAACAAATTCGGCCGACAACTTTAAATACACAAGTCCACGGTACGTACCACACATATTAAGCGCCCACTTTGTAAACTAAGCCTTTCAAGAATAATACCGCTTTTGCTGCGTAAAGTCCTGTGATAAAGTTTGATTATTAGAAGCTGACTTGAAAAACAGTTGTTGTTTTCGCCACAAATGCAAATCCTCCACGCTGTTTATATCAGTCGCGAGATGATATAACGACTTCGTTATTTCGATGAACTTAGAAAAATTGAAACAATTACGTCATTCGGTAAATAAACACGCTTGATGATCCACTTGCAGGTATTGTGACAAATCAACAGATGAGGTTCAATCCAGTCATGGTTGTTGATCAGAACCGTACTCAACAGTTTGCGTCTCAATCGGAAATAAACTCCGAGCAGTCCCAGCAGTCTGTGCCCACGAAGATGACGTCTTCCCCACGACCGAGTATTTTAAGGAAGAGAGACCACGAAGGGTCGCCGTTGAAGGCGGCGAAGAATCTGACTCCAGTTTTGACCAACTTAACTCAGCAACCATTGCCGTCTATTTCGCCGCCGTCCAGGCCCGATTCTAGGGGAAATGGTCACAGTTCTGGGGGTAGTACTACGATATCGGCGACTTCTAGTCCTGGTTTAGCGGAAGTAAATGAAGACAGCATGCCTCATGCACCCTTGAATAAGGAAGAGGAAAGTGCGAAGCCACCGATGGAGATGAGTCCAAGGAAGAAACCCAGAAAACAACAATTGTAAGTGACCTGTGTATTTTTTATGACAATAGCAATTATAATCATGTGATGTTGGTCTTTAGGACTGGTAGTAATGACATCGACGAGCATAACGATGACATGCAATTCATTTCCGAAAGTACCATCAAGAAAGAACAGGATGATTCCGACGGAAATCAGTCCGACGAACCGAGAGATGGCGCTCCGGAAGCTGGACAAGTGACTACCGTCCGCAAGCCGGCGTCTGCGAGTTTACTGAATAGTTATCGACAAACGTGGAAAGCAACTCACAATCATTATTTGAGATATTCAGACGTCAGGCCTAAGGATGAAAGACGACCCACGATTATGGATTTGGCTAATCAATATAGAGTACAAGAGAAGGTTAACGGATGGAAAATTTATCATCTTTCAACTCAAATGGAGGATTTGGTAGAGGTTCTGGTAGTTCAATTAATCTCTAATTTCTATAAATTTGTCAATTTTACAGGCGGAACAAGAACAAACTGTGTATAACCAGCTGACTGAGTTACTTAAGAGTACTGAATCTCAAGAGGCCCTACACTTTGAAAAGGATATCAATAGAATCAACGAACTAATTAAGGTAACTTAACAAACATCTTGTATGTGGAGTTCTTACCATTAATTTAATACAGGGTAATCTTCAAAGAATAAAAATAATAAACGACGGAATGATCGAAGCTAAAACACAAATTATGAAGATTTTCGATCACAAGGGACACGTGACGGACATAATAAACAGATGTGCCAGTAAACGAAATTTTAAGAAGAGAGAAAAATCTTAAAACTTAATTTTGTTAAATGTTCGTTGCTTTCATTTCAAATGTCATACTTTTGGAAACTAGATCAAGATCAAAAAAGAAAAGTATGTATTTTTTTTGTATATTTAGTGCGTTTCATGTGTATTTATTTATTTGATGTTGACTTTTGAATTGATCGAAATTCACGAAAAATGTACTAAGTTATGTACAGATAATTTTGTAATAAAAAGTAGTGTGCAGCTTTTTGTACACGATTGTGTATGTATATTATTATTGCATCCATTGACGGATGAAAATGAGAATTTTCCAATGAACTTGCTGTTGATGTTTATAATAAAATTGTTTTAAATCTGGACGGTATAGTTTGCGTTATCCATCCTTTGTACTTCACGCAAAAAAGGACAACGGTGAGGGATATGCTGTAGTACCTTCAGGGTCAAGAACAAACAGGTTGGTATGAGGGTTGGTATATGTAGTGTATGGATTAAGCTTGGGGCGCCAGTAAGTTGTCGGTCATCAGTTTAAATCAACAATAAGTAATAAAGAGTCTCGTTTGAAGTTGCTTTCCATGTATATGCAGTACTTTGGGAGACGGAACACGTTAAAGGACAAATTAATTAACTATGACCGGTCAGTCTGTTTTTCGACCATAAATTGTCAACTATTAGGTCCAACATTTATCCTCCTATTGTGTGCAATCGGTGTAACCACATCCGAAGCTTCCCACATGATCCGCTGTTTCCGGAACATTTCAATTTTGATTAAACGTAACCAACTACGCTTCCTTGTGAGATTGTTCCTCAGTCTCAATTAGGGGTTGTATGTACCTATAATAAAAGAAACAAGATTTATTAGCAATTTAAATAGTTGAAGAGGAAATGGTAATACAAGAAATGATTAAAATGCATTAGAATGGAAATACTTTGAGAAGAACACTCACACGAAACATCACCCTTGGATGTAAAAGCGTTCGGACGGGTCTACTTGCAAATTCAAGGGGAGGAAACTGTAGTGGTCATTCTGTTTTGTTATTTCTTCGTGGTTTAATTTTATATTTCATTTATTCACTAAATATTCAAATCAATATATATGAAAATCTATTTTTTAGAATGTCTGCGTTTTAGGAGGCAAATGATATGTCACTGGTCAAACCTAAGTGACAGTTTGCGATTTTAACGTGTTTTTCTCATGGTGTTTCCACTCTACGTAAAGAAACAAAAAGTCTGAGTCGGCGGTTCATTACAAAAGCGTATGCACAGAATGCTTCCATGGTTGTTTCTATAGAAGTCACAAGATTTTTTACGAAAATAAGCTCTCGTGTAATATTGTCATTTTTTGTTCAACGGAATGCATTCAAATGCAAAGTGATAAATTTCAATCGAAATGCAAAATACGGAGGGCAAATTATTTATTTCTCCATTATTGAGAGGGAAAAACGATTAAAATAACCTATTAGGACCTTATTTTCTAGTTGCAAATACGCTCCAGTTTTCAAAAATAAATTCAAATATCATAAATAAACAAACAAAAAAGCAAAAATAAAATTAAAAGCTATTAATTAAAGATTTACAAATAGGATTATATTCCCTACTAAGATTTTAAAAGCGGTTTTGTTGATATTAAATACAGTATAACCTCTATAATCCGAATCCACGATTATCCGAACATCCAGTAATCCGAACAAAAACTCTGCAATCCGAACTAAAGTTTCAAACATGCACCGGCATGCAAAAATGACGCAATATCTTTTGCACGTAAACACACCACACAAACTGTCCAAGAGAAGTGAGATATAATAACCAAACTTAATAATGGTAGAAGTGTGACAGACTTATTTATAATACAAGTACATACAAAAAATATCTATACATAGTCGAATACTTCATTTGTGAAAAAGTTGTCTAAAATTTTTTAAAAGATTCAGGGTTATAGATCTTGACGTCCTGATTCCTAAAATATAGCGTGCCTAAGATCACGAATAATTCTGAGTGAAATAAGAATTTTTTGAAATTTTTAAAAATTGCGATATTTCAATGGACAGTTCTGGAAAAACGTTTGGGGTTATCGAAAAAAGGAAGTCAGAAGTGACATCTGCGGCCCGAAATCTACGAGAAAATTGGTCGAAATTTGCTTAAAGGAAAACTTCATTTTTGAAAAAATCATCAAAAAATTCAGAGTTATAGATCCTTCATGTGCTGATTCCACAAATATTGCGTGTTTATGGTTACGGACTAATATTTTTTTCGAATGTATCTATCCATTGTTGCTTAAAAAAACTTTATTTTTGTTTAATGAAATTAAGGTTTATTTCTTGAAGTTTGTTTTTAGCATCTCATCCATTGGATTGAGATTGTTATTCAATTTCCGTTCAGATTTTTGGGAAATTCGCTGATCCGAACAAATCGACAATCCGAACACCCGTTTTCCCCAACTGATTCGGATTATCGAGGTTGAACTGTATGTTGGCTCTGCGAGTCGGTTGGCTCTGTAATACTCAAAGTATTACGATGGTGTGGCAGCAAGTTTAAATATGAACAAAAACCCAAAGACTGTATCGGGAGTCCAAATCATAGGTCACGTTTAGGGAGGGATCGATGGCTCTTGTCAAGACGATCGAGCTCTCCTCAGCGTTACGTTGTGTTGCGAGATTCACGAGCTGTAACAATTCATATCCTCGCGGTGCAAGGGTAGAAGTAGGTACGTCGGTCGAAATGGATTAAATAAATGGCTGAATAACGTGCACTAAAATCCCACCTATTAACTCTGTTGCAACTGACCAATGAACTTCAACTTGTTCGTTTAGTTATTGTTGATTAAAGAAGTTCTGGTTAAGCTAAGAACAACTCAGTAAAAGTGTTGATGATGATTAAATAACTTACCATACTCTTATTGTGGCATAACAACGCCAACAACACAAAAGACTCACACCAAAAAAATGGACAAAACAGTCAACAATTAGGGTAAGTTGAAAGTGCCATCACAGTAGCAGAAAATTTCCTGTGACGGAGTTAAAGTCCAGTCCGCTAAATAGTGAACATAGCCCATGTATTTATTGGAAGCTACCAATAAACCGCGAATTTGGTAATCCTAGTTTACAGCTCTAATCTCGTTGTGTTTGTCTGAAACGAATATAGATTTATGAATAAGATGTGCATGAACATATTTTAGGTTACATATAGACGACTACGTCCAGTTCAATCGTTTCGGACAAGCAACATAAAAACAAGCAAGTGTTGTAAAACTTGTAAATTATCATTATAATCATGAGCACACGGTGCCTTTTAGAAACAAGAAGACAACGTTGCAACGTTCATTGTTTGACGGACTCTACTTTGGTATTTAATGTACCAAAAATATAATAAAAGATAAAAAATGAAAATACATAAGTATATATTTTATTTGCCATACCCGCCTGACTATTCATTTTGCTTATTTCACGACGCCACTGGCTTTAACCGGTAAAATAAGATATCAATTATGTGAAGACTGATGTTAAAATTTAGGACAAGTTGTTAAAAATTGTGTAAACATTGCCTTATTCTTCCACGTGACCATAATAAATAAAAAAATACGTTAGCGTTTCTACACTAATTGCTTTACTTTCCCATCCTTCAGCGTCCCTTTGTGACATCTGAAATTCTCCTACAGACAAATTGCCAATAGTATATTAACAAATATTTGAATCTGTTGTGCAAAATGTTTTCATTTTACGTGACAGATTTCATTTTTTCTGAGTACTTATTACATCATTATTTTGTTGTGGCTTTTGTTAATAAATTAAAGCCTAAAATCAGCCTGAGCTGGTATGTATCAACAGAGCTGAGTTTATCAGATCATCGATACATATATCCGATTTTAGCATTCAAAAGAGTGAAGGTCGCAACGGGAACATAAAGATCCAAGAGCGACAAACTGGGAGTCGTAGAAGAAGTCCGACATGTAAAAAGAACCGAAGAAATGGCTGTCTTAATACATGAGGCCACTGTCGAGTCTTACAAGAAGAGTTGCCCAACACGCAACTCTCAAGGATCAACGCGGCCCCATGGTGAAACTGTCACCTCACTAGGTTGAGACAGACTGCAAGGAAACTCTGGAATAAAATCCGATTTGAAAGAGTTCTAATTTGCGATTCGCCACAGGAAACAGATAGATGGAAGGATTTCTGTGGGAAGATAGACAATCTTCCGCAAGTAGCAAGACTCGTCTACTCGTCTACTACAACGTCGAGACTTACTTCACGGAACCTGAAGAAGACACTTTGAGGCTCCTATTAATGATCTGCAGGAAGCATCATCTAAAGCCACCAGCCCAAAGAAGAAAAAATAAAGGAACTAGAATCTTTTACTAAACTTCTGTTGCATCTTTTCAGAACTTGCCACGTTCTGGGCTGAATACATATCGAGTAAGAATAACTGTCTCTGTCCCTAAACCTGGACGTACTACATAGATATACCGGAGCTAAGAGTTAGTTCTCAATCTGATGTCGTATGGAGAAGTTGCTGGGCACTATGCCCCTACAACCAAACTAAAGTTGGAAAATCTACTGAGTCGGGCTTGCATCAAATCGTCACAGGGATAGAGTCGAGGTTGGGGATGGATCTTACTTACTTAGAACATTCTTGGACATAGAAAGAGCATTCGATAATGCAAACTTTGACTATTGTCTTTACCATTTCTATTGAAACACAACCTGTTGATTTTTGCTTAAAATTTAGCAATTGGTAACAGCTTTCGGCTGATTGACAACGGCTTTTAGTTAGAAAATTGTCTAAATATGAACGTTGCCAAATTTACGATTAACAAGTGGTGTTTCAATAGAAATGGCAAAGACTATACATGTATTTATTTTTGATCAAGCGCTGTGGGGATCCCACACCCAAGGATCAATCATTGAGAATCTAGATTTGAAACCTAGTAGTAGATGGCGATTTGTCAATTATGAAGCTGAAGTAAATGCTCAAGGATATGCTGATGATGTAGCAATCCTTGTAAAAAGCAAATTTCTCAATGTAGCTAAGGAGCTCACGGAGAGGGCACTTGGACTTACTGAGAAATGGTGTCGATTAAATAGTTTGTTTGTCAATCCAGACAACACTAGCCATGCTATTTTTGCAATTGGAGTTATGTGGGACCTACACTCTTTGGAAAAACATTGCGGGTATACAGAGAAGTCAGATATCTAGGCAATTGTGTGAACTGTAGGCTTTCCTGGAGGATTTACGTGATAAATCAGACGAAGAAAACTACTGCTGCACTTTGGTTGTGCTTTGGCTATACCTACACCAGCGTGATAAAGCCGGTTATTCTCTATGGTGCTGATATATCTGGTGGTGTTCGATAACGAAAATCTGGGCTAAAACTCTTTTAGTCCAAACACAACATCTGGTCTGCCTGAGATGCAATGAGAACCACACCAACGGCTGCCATGATCAGAATTTGATCGGGCGGCCTCCTCTTCACCTGTTGGTGATGGAGATGGCTAGGATGGCATTCCTGAAACTATGAGAATGAAATGTGTGACAGAATGTATGCACAGGGCTCTCTCTCGAAAGCAAATCAGTATTTTCGTAGACAGTCAGGTTTCACTGACGGGTTTGAAACCTAGCAGGCATACATCGAATCTTGTTTGGGAATGTAACAATCGAATACAGGGTTTAGCGGAGCACAACAAACAAATTGTTCTCAGCTGGTGAATACATGGGCCATAAAGAAAATGAAAGAGCCAACGTTCTAGCAAGACAGGATTCTGAGAGGGGCTTTATAGATCTACAAGTTCCTAACAGTATCCAAATGAAAACACTGCACGAGATTATGTCATCTTCAAGAATTGTGGACCTTGAACCTGCGGTACTCAGGGCTGAAGGGTTTGATGAAAAACGCAGCGAAGAACTACTGAGACTCTGTGGAAAACATCTCAGAATTGAAGTTCCACAATCAAACACATGGGCACCATCGGCCTGGCTTCTGGTAGCACATGCAGAATGTGCTTAGGGAACGATGAGACTGTCCAGCACATTATGTGTTTCTGGCTTGTTGACAGCAGGAAAGGACACATGTACTTCCAAATTCTGGAGACACATGATATTCGAGATGCGCCTATAAATTTTGTATTCTGGGCACAGGGCTCTTTCAGGACTCGGCAATGGACCAGAAGGCCTCCGTGTGTGGGGGTCTTTTTTCTTAAAAAAAATTGGTCTAAAGGGTTTAGACAGTACTTTCCACGCTGTCAGAAACGTGACGACTTCATGGCTTTTTTCGTATTACATTTTTGTAGCGGGGCATTTTAAAATAAATGAGAATTAATTTTTTCAATTTTGTCATTATTTAGCATTAACATCCTGTAGTACTTGTATTTTAAGACAAATAGCCATAACACTTGTATTTTAAGACAAACAGCCACAACACTTATTAACGTGAAGACGTGACCGTGAAACACAAACTAAACTAATAAGACATGATTTCCACGAATTGGAATAACTGGACGACAATGCCGACGGTCCAGGCTTTTTTATTGCTCTGACTTCCGTTTGGTGAATAAAACACTACATTTTTTCGGTTTATGGATGCTGTAATTCACATTTGGTTAACTATAACTTGTACAGATCTAGCGGAGCATCTCCTAGCCTCCCCTTAGCTACGGCCTTGTCTAGGGGTTAGTATGAAATATCGAGAAAATTTGAAACCAACAAATTGCCCAATGGACTCCATTACTGTACGTCCTTAGGTTATCCTCGGTAAGAAAAACAAGCGTTTATGTTTGATTTGAATGAGTTCGTCCCGTCAAAACAGAGGATCAAAACAATTATCTAGTAAGCTACAATCGACAAAATGTTCTGAATATCATTATTATAATTCTTATTAAATAAAGCTGTTTGTATTTTCACATTTTCGGGAAAATTGAGTCACTTGTTATTTATTTGATCAATAAAAAATAGGAATGCTATGATGAATTACAAGTAAAAACTCATCATATTTTGCACACACGGGTAGAATTTATTCGGCAAAATTTTGAGATAATGTCATCAATTTTTGGGGGAAATAAACAGATTTATTTTTGGGGGAAATAAACAGATTTATTTTTGGGAGAAATAAACAGATTTATTTTGATTAACAATTTACCATGCTTACAATGACCTTAAAACGTCTGCAAGATTTCAAAGTATTCAGTTTTGCAATTCTTGATTAAATCAATAAAATAATTTCACGCATTCATTAATTTTTTTGAGTCACCCTGTATATGCAAATCCAAAAAATATGAATGGAATGATAAATCATAACTACAGACTCATCATATTTTGCACATTTAAGATAGGATTTATTCAGCAAAATTTTGAGGTGACGTCATCAATTTTTTAGGGGGGATGAGGAAATAGATTTTGACTAAAAACTTACCATGCCTATGATAACTGTAAAATAGCTCCAAAATTTCAAAGCACCCCGTTTTGTAGTTCCTGATTAAATCAATTAAATAAATTCACACATTCATTATTTTTTTGAGTCACACTGTATATGCAAATCCAAAAAATATGAATGGAATGATAAATCATAACTACAGACTCATCATATTTTGCACATTTAAGATAGGATTTATTCAGCAAAATTTTGAGGTGACGTCATCAATTTTTTAGGGGGGATGAGGAAATAGATTTTGACTAAAAACTTACCATGCCTATGATAACTGTAAAATATCTCCAAAATTTCAAAGCACCCCGTTTTGTAGTTCCTGATTAAATCAATTAAATAAATTCACACATTCATTATTTTTTTGAGTCACACTGTATATGCAAATCCAAAAAATATGAATGGAATGATAAATCACAAGTACAAACTCATCATATTTTGTCCATTTTAGATAGGATTTATTCGGCAAACTTTTGAGCTGACGTCATCAATTTTTTGGAGGGGATAAGTAAATATATTTTGATTAAAAATTTATCAAGCTTATCATAACTGTAAACCATGTGCAAGATTTGAAAGCATTCGGTTTTGCAGATTCAAAATAAAATAGCAAAATGTTGTTTCATAATTTTGATTTTTTTTTCCGAAAATCTACATGTGTAGGACTATGTTATTTTATACAATTTAAAGTCCATTTACTATGTACTATATTGTGTGACGTCATCGCATTAGTGGTGGGGATGATTAGACAAATTTTAGTTAGCGTTTTACGAACTACATGATATTCCTAAGTACAAAATTTCACAATAATCGGTCCAGTACTTTCGGAAATTTTCTGTCTAATAAAAATCCGAGACGGCAGACAGACGGACAGACGGACAGACAGACGGAAACGGGAGACCTATTTCTTCGTTCTCTAGGGGTCATGAAAGGTCGAGAAAACGTAAAAGTAGAGAGAGGGCCAACGGATTCGATTACAATACTTTCTTTGCTTACGCTGGGGAGGTAAAAACACACCGTGAAATCTTGCATAATAAAACGTTAAACTAACAAATTAACTACCTAGTTTTTATTTTTTATGAACAAGAATCTACAGCCTATGAAATTTGAATTATTAGTGTACTACTTTCGATTACCATTAAAAATTTGATGATTGATGTATAGATTTTACAATATTTTGGAAACTACAAAACCGATTACTCTGAAATTTTTTGTACACGCTTTAAGGTTATCGTGAACATAGTACGAGTAGGTACCTAAATATTTAATCAGAACTTATTCCTCTAAAATGAACACTACAAAAAATACTATGGTTCTATAGATGCAAATTCTGGGAACACCTATCAAAACTGATCCTTACTAAGAGTTGTTAACGTCATCGTAAATTTTATTAAGAAAATCTGACATGCAACCTCTAGCTTAAATTAAGTATTTTCGTTAGATATTAATTCAGGCCATCATATTGATCATATAAAAATTTTAACAGTTTTAATTCATTGCTCTAAATCGAGATATAATGTGCGATTTTTGATAAAAAATCTATACAATTTTGATTCTACAAATTGAAAATATTTGTAACTGAACATTAATAAAAAAAAATTGTCAAACATATCAGGAAATCGAAGTTTAAAATAATTAACAGTATAACAATCGAATTTCGACTGTTAATGGATAATGGATGATTCACAAACTTCTAAATGTCACGAAGTTTAGTAACCTCAAGTTTTAACTAGGAAGTGCCAAGAGTATATTAAACTATTATAGAGGAATGATAGAAGTTCTGTGATCAAGTTGCAAATTCGATTAAATGCTTAATTAAAGCTTATAATATGCTAAGTTGTGGGAGAGTTGTAGATGGTGCAAAATTAATATGAAAATAAACAAAACTTAACTGTTTTTTTACACCTGTATAAAGAAAATTTTGTGTGCACCATGTGTAAAATGTGTGCTTTTCGTTCTACAACCCATCACCATTTAAATCTCAAAAAACTTAATCTTTCATAAAAATCCTACAATAATGAAAACCTGATCAATATTTTCAAACTTTTATTCTAAAATTAAGGCCCCCTTTCAAAAATGTCGGTAACTATTTGTTTAATGTCTGCAACATCTAACTTGAGAGTTTCTAAGTCACCTTCAGGACTAGTGGCAGAATCTTTTTCTCTGAAATATCGCTGAACTAACTGGGACATCAGCGCCGGATAGTCATTCTTTTTTTCCTCTTCTGTCATAACAAGAACGATTTAAAATTTATAATTTAACAAAAAACAACAAACCTCTTGGATCAACTTTTGGAGTTTGAAACCATTCCATAAAAGTGGTTATTCCGCCAGGTGTCGGTATTAAATTTAACGGTGGAGGAAGTGTAGACTGCAGCATATATTCTAAATAAAAATCTGTTTTACCAAAGGTCCATTCAACATCAATATTATCCAAAACCCTTTGAAAAGTAGAAGACATGGTGGCAATCAACATGTTCAGGATCATTATAACCGTCAGTACTTCAAAGAGCGCAAATGCTATGTATCCAATAGCTTCCGTGAACAGGTGCTTGTTTATAATTGTGGTATTTTCAGTCTCTCCTGGTAAGTTTTCTATAATTACGTCGGCAGATTCTAAAGGCGCCATGCAAAAAAGAGCCCAGAAAAATGTTTTTAGAGTAGTACTAACATCTATGAACGAAGATGTTTGCGCAGTTTTTATTTGATTGGAATCAACCTGAACCATACCGTCGTAGTAGTTATAAAATCTGCACATCCCAGCGGTAAAAGAAATGATAATTATTATGAATATGGTAATATATTTCGCCATATCGCTGCACATTTTTCCTAGGGATATTTGTAAAGGTCCTAAATAGTAATTTAATCGACAGAAAAACATCAATCTAAAGAAAGTCATTATAGTTGCAACAGCGAAGCAACCTTCTGCTATCAAAATTGGATCGAGGTGGTGCCAATACTTTCTCTCCAAATCTATTTGGTCGTTGCTTAAAGCATCTAAATAAGAAGCTAACCAAAAAACGAACGTTAGGAGAAAGAAAGTGTTTGAAATAACAGCGTGCCAGTTCCAGAGGTATTTAAAATATCGTTTGGGCCCTTGAATGAGGCACATTCGTATTATACCCCAGCAGTTGCCCACAACAAATATCATTATAGCAGGTTCTAGGCCACTTGAAGGGGGTAAACGTTTCTGATTTTCTTTGGACATGTTGGACTCGATGAAGACGACTATGAGGAAAACGATATATGCTGCTGCATGGTTGATCATTCTGTTAAGTGGGATGCTCCAGTGGGCCACCATCTGGTGTTTAGGAAGAACTATACACATGACTGTTATAACTGGAAGTAAAAGTATTCGGAAAATGGGATAAATTATTTTCGCTGGTATTGGTTTCAAGTTGTAGTCGTACCAGTTACCGCGCCATATGTTTTCTACCACATGTTGAGTGTGAGCATGAGCTATGAAGAACTTTTGTTTGTAATCCATTGCTAGAACTAATCTAGGGTACGTAAAAATTCCAGGGTTCTGAATACCAGATTTCTGACTTAAAACAATTTCAACTTCACCAGAGTTTCTACAATTTCCTACAAGTTCTACAGCAAAGTTGCTAACCTCTTGAGCTAATTCTGTGTAGTTATTTCTAAATTCTGGAACGTACTTTGCACACTGTCTCAGTTCGGTGGATAACTGAAAACTTGTCAGGATTGGATCACGTGAAGAATGACAAATATAAGCTGGATTGCAAACCGATCTATATAAGTTTAATCTTAACTGTTCAGCATGCAAGAGATCATCTCTGTCTAACTGAGCTTTACAATCTACACACCTACATGTAGGAGAGTGAGGCTTACTTATAGTGTGCCCTCTGTCTATCAACATTTGAATAATTTCATAATGACCACACTGAGCAGCAAGAATCAACGGAGTGATATAATCAGCATAATCAGAACTATGAGTAACCCCAACGTATTCCAGACTAGGCGCTATCATTCTTTGTTTATCCAGAAGCATCTCTAATATTTTCGGCTGATTGTCTCTAATGGCATGAAGTACACAATCGCCAATTTCAATGTTAGGCTGAGAGAGTAAAAACTCCACCATAGCGTCCGATTTGCTTTGAACAGCGATTAATAAACCTGACACTCCTTGAAAATTCACGCAATTTATGTTGAAACCGGGATTCTCATTGAGAAAATCACTAACGGCGACAACGTCCCCTGAAAAATTAGGGATTTACAAGGATTACGGTCTTGTCTAATGAATACCTGAGTGAACTAGTTCAAAAAAGCGCTTTTCAGACTCTTGGAGCTGAGGGAGTAAAATACTGGGACGAGGCATGAGCATTTCATCGTCTTCCTCTAATCTCCTGTAACCCATTCGATTCTGTCCTCTGGAAAACAAGCTAGGCATGGGAGGCGGCGGCGGAGGGGCCAGGCCTGTATTGGGGTTTTCAGGATCTTGGGCCATTTCAGAACGGAGTAAAGCAAAATATAATTATAGTAAAATTAATGTAGAAACTTAAATATGACGTGTAAAAAGAAAAAAGTCAAACGATGACACTGACGTGATAAATGCCTTGTAGATAATATCTAGGTATCAAACAGGTGTCGTAGATAGGTTGAGAATTATTGCTCATTGAAAAAATAAAAATAAAGAATAGTTGACTTGTTTTAGTAAAAATAAGTAAGACACCACTCAAAAATCGTTAGTTTTCGTATCATGGATGTTTAAAAATTTTTGGTAGGTAATTTTTTTATTTATTTTATTTTAATTATCCTGAAGTTAATAATACCTATTATAATTATCAAAACTTTTTTTTAACTCGCTCCATATGTATCAAATGTATCAAAACTTATCTATGTAAAGACGTTGTGTCTTGGAGATATCGTAGGTTAGGTCTCGATAAAAGCGGAGGTCAAATCATGACTCATTTAGACGTTTTGTTTACACCGTTGTCATGGAAACCGCGCCTCTAGTCGCTGTATTTAGCTACAATCGGGTCACATTTGAAATTGTTTGATTTTAAATAAAAATAATGGATTCAGTTGAACAGTTAATAAAAAATCGTCCTCTGTCTTACGACGATAAAATTGGAGTAAAAAATTTAGGGGAACCATCCCCGATTTATTAATTAAAAAAGTGTTCATGGCAAAATGAGAGACTTTTATAGATATTTTAATATACATAACAAGTATGGTAAATTTTTGTGGATATGCGGTTGTGAAAAAAATTATAAATTGTTTTGTTGTGTGCCTCCTCAGTAATAAGTTAAAACCAAAGAAAGGTATGTGGACAAATACTTTTTTACTTTTATTGAATTTGAATTTTGAGATTTGAGATTACAGAAAATTTTCAATTTGAAATGAGAACTTTTGAAGATATTTTAAACCAAACAGAAGAGTGATTTTTTTAACAATAATTCTTACAGGTAAATTTTAGAAAAGAACTAATATTTTTTATGAACACATCAACCTGATCCAGTGAGCAATCGCAAGAACTGATGAATATTACCAATTTGAAAGTGACACAGAACGAAACTTCCGAATGAAATGTTTAAAAATTGTTTTGTGTATGTTCAGATGATGAAACATGTTCCCGGTTAATTTATTGTTTTTTTATGCTGTTTTTTATTTTCATGTTTTCCTTCGTTGATTTCATATTAATTTTCCACATATGTATCTTACTGCATCGTAAAAGGTTAATCAAAATTTATGCGTTTATCCGCTGTCAAAAAATTAATGCCCTCATCATAAAATTTTGCCGAATAAATGTTATTTAAATTTTATAGAATGATATACACCTGCACTTTTGGTTTATAAATCTGTGCTGAGTTCTTACCCTAGAGATCCAGAGTTTTGGAAAAAAAACCTAAAAATTGTATAATAATTGTTGAACTCATAAACCAGTTGTGGTTATTTAGTATCTGCTAAGATAAGACCGATTTTGGCAAATGACATACCCTCCAAGAAAAGAGAGGGTGGGTGGGCGGGGTTAGTACCTGCTAAGATAATACTGATTTTGGGAAATGAGATACCTGTTAAGAAAATAGAGGGCGGGTGAGTGGGGCTGGTATCTGTTATGACTGATTTTGGCAAATGACATATCCTTTAAGAAAATAGAAGGTGGGCTGGTAGGACTAGTACCACCACCAGTAGTAGATAAGACTGACGTATCCTCTAACAAATTTAATTATTTAAATTATTATAAGAAAAGACACTAGGGGCCCCAAAGCATTTTCAAATTCTTTCCAAACAGGAATACCTAGAACCTCAAAATTATCTTAATTTTTTTCAAGAAAAAGCGGGATCCAAAATTAACTCAAAAACAGGACAGCAGCAGTTCCCTGAATGTTCGCGATTTTTTCCAAAAATAAAACCCCAAAATCCTTTTAAATAATTTCCAAAAAAAGCTCCATGGGCTCCCAAAATAATACACCATGGGGACGTACCCAAGAGTCTGCCGAATTAAAAAAAAAACAGTTAATAATAATAAAAAAATCCTGTTCGTCTACAAAATAAACGTGTTTAGACAGAGTATTCGTAAAAAATACAGGGTTTCTATAAATGATTATAGGGTCAAAGTAGGTCATGAACATGTGCCGCCTCTCAGTTTGGACCTTACTAAATGTCCAAGGGCGCACGACAAATACCACACGCATCCGTATAACTGGTCTAAATGCTTCATACCTTTTTAAAAAATAAAACTAATTTATTACAATCAAAAGAAACTAATTTATTGCTGTTAAATATCACAGTAAATGTTGAAAATGTTCACCATTTTGTTCAAGGCTCATCTTCACTTTCTTTTTAACTTCAAAAATGTTCTGTAACATCCTTTCGTCAATGTTTTGGACCCATGGTTCAATTTCATGTTGCATCAGGATTGCAGAGGAAATTTTGTCAAAGATGTTGCAGATTCTGCTCAAGTTGTCTCAAATTTTCAACAACTTCCTCAGATACTGAAGGTCTTCCATGAGATTTCCTTGTGTTGACACTGACAGTTCGGACAAATCTTAATAATGGTTATGCAGTTTCATTACTAACAACACAAAAATATACATTAAAAATAATAAATAATACAATTAATTTGTAGTAATAATAAAATAGTACATTAGTACATTCTTCGTTGTCATAAATTAGAAAAATCAGTTGAGAACGAGGGACTTAAAACATGAAAAAAACTGCCGTTTGAAGTATAATACGTCCATAGTAATGTCATTTTATCGCAGAAAAGGGAAAAAAAAAGTTACACCTCCTCTAGCGAGTCCCCTTAACAACATGTCATAGAGTACATTTTTTGGTCACCAAGGTATAAAAAAGCTATTTTCAATGGGTCATTTTTAACGTAACATGGCGTTAGTCCGTAGCTTATGTTCACGAATCACACAATGTAATTTTATTTAGTACTGAGTTAAAATAATCACGAAGATCTTAGTAAAGAGTGTCACGACATTCTAATTTTGGAAGATGACGCACTTCCTTGTGAACTATTGAAAAAAAGTTTTGATGCAGACTGATAGTCTACAACTTGAAACTATTTTTATATACCTAGGTTCATTTATTTAGAATATGAATTTTCAGTTCACAAACTACTGACGAAAAGACTAATTCCAAAAAATATAATGTAAAAATAACAGAAAATATAATGTGTTCCATTTGAAAATATGTCTAAACTATTACAAGTTCTTTGATATCTTGGTACCTACATACATATTTTCAGCCATTAAATCAAAGAAAGTAGTTGGTGGACCAAAACTTTTGTAGTTCTACAAGTTTCAGCTATTTCTAATAGTGAGTTGGAACGGTAAATATAAGATACAACAAAAAAATAAACATTTCACTGCACACCTTTTACTATTTTTCTTAATGTCAAAAAACTGAAGACATTAAAAAAAAAAAATTTAAGTAAACTTATTTGTCTCTGTTGAGTAGAAAATAAAATTTATTTAGAATACTAACTGATTCTTTTCATCTTGTTTTCTGTACGTTTTATATTTTCTAGAATATAGAAAAGTAGGTGCCCCATTTCCTCTACCTGCCCTCTGTTGGCGATTGTAATCCCTTTATGTCTTCAGATAAAACTAGTGTACTCATATCAATAATCTAATTTAGTTCCTTAGGAAAAAGCAATATTATACTTTAAATTGTTTTTATATTTACGATATGTTCTCTTCACATCTATTGTAATAAGATTTATTAACATGCTGCTGACATGCAATGTACTATTTTTTTCCTCATAAATCTATCAGCTGCTAGTTCTACCCTTTGCTTTTGTGACGTACGAAGAAAACAATTTATGGAAATCGAGTTGTATTCAATTAGATAACAAAGGATAAAACTGGCTTTATACATGAAAGGGTAGGTTTAGAAAACTCTGGTCTCTCCTGTCCGGCCTTTTTCATGTCTTGAAACATTTCAGCCACATTCGCCTTTAATCGCACTTTAAGTATTAGTAAAATAATTTTTAACCACCCTTAAAGCAATTTAGTTCTCTATCTAGAAATACTACATTAAATAAATCTCATTTCGTCGGTTGCACGAGCCAGACATTTACTCTTTGTGTTTATCTTATCGGTCAAGCCAACCCCGACATTTAAATAAATTTAAATTATCGTGAAACAATAAATTTCCATTTTCGTTTCCGTATTGTTAGAAATTTGTGGAGCGGAATGAATTTTTTTTATGCGAGTTTAGAGTGCGAAAAGTAATCGATTTATAACTTACCTACCCAACGCGCTTCAAAAAAATCTACAAAAACTAGCATCAGTCTGGGATGAAAAGCGGATGTTCGATTCATTTCATCAGATTGTCAGAATTTTCGAAGCGTGGTGTTGACTACTGTGAGAACTGATGAATTTAATAACAGCAGGTTTATTGCAGAAGTCTCATAATGACCGCAAAGTTGCCACCACTTTCTGAGACGATTGCGTTTAATAATACGTTTTCGATTGGTTGCCTAAGTACTTTCACAAGGATTATTTATACTCATGAATGTTTTGATTGGTTGATTGACCGGAATAGTAGCAATCCTTGTTGTTTGCGATGCAGTTGGTGCTTATGCAACTTTGTGTATAAATCGTGATTGATTTTGAATTTGTTCATTCGGTGATGGTTTAAATTGCAACAGTGGATTTTCTCTATTTTCCACCTAATGTACCTCGAACTTTAGTTTTAGAGTTCATTTGAATGAAATCAAGCGTAGCAACATTTTTAGAATATGGAGCGATGCACCCATTAGATTTCAGTAGATGACGATGGTGCAGTATAGTTTTATGGAACGTGCTCCTTAAATGTTCCAAATCAATATTCTAATGCTTTGTAACTGTCACCTATTGAAAACAGTTCTATAACTTGTGAATTACAGTACTGTAGTGGAGGGTGATTAAGAACGATAAGTTGTTACGACCAAAATATAAATAGATCTGAGAAATTCTAGATTTAGATTTTCTATTAAGTATAGTTTTGTCATTTTTGACATTTTATTACACATACAGGCTAGGGAACTGTGGAGGCGATTACTGCAAAATGATCGTGAAGATGGTAACACGCCAACTAAAATTTA